ATGTGGGCGAACAAAATTTGCCAAGGAACATGTCGGGGGTTTGTCTGAGAATCCTCAGGGAAGGGATAAATTTTGAGTAAACTCCTGAACACACCAGAAAGAGGGAGCAGTTTAACCAAGGAGGAATCTTGGGAGACATGAGGGACACCGGCCTGTCCTAAGAACCAAAAGAAAAAAAAAAATCTCTATAGCTTAAACACCAGACTCATGGGAAACTGGCAGAGGAGCCATGCAAAGCATGAGCAGAGTTATGGATGGAACTCTTCTCTAATTGTGTTTTTAGAGGGAAATTAAAGAATTTCAAGATTTCACTGTGTTTTAGAAAAGGCTGCACACTGGTGTCATCTTTAAAGGTCCACAATGCAGGCTAACATATTTGAAAATTCACACAGTGCAAAATTCTTTCTAGCATTAATATTTCCTACCCTCACTTGAGCGTGGATATTTGTAACAGAGCAGGACAGAACATCACTTTATGATGCCCTCCTTCAGACAGTAGGGTACAGGGTTTTGTTGTTAGTCAGCTCTTCCATTGCTGGATGGATTCAAACGGGGAGAGGCTGCGGTTTCAGTCTGAGGTTTTTCCCCTTTCTCTGTGGTTTAAAGCTCTCTCTCTGTCTCTCTGTCTCTCTGTCTCTCTCTCTCTCTCTCTCCCTCCTTCCCTCCCTCCCTCCCTCTCTGTGTCTCTCTTCTGTCTCTCTTTTCTTTCTGTCTCTCTTCTTTCTGTCTCTGTCTGTCTGTCTCTCTTCTTTCTGTCTCCCTGTCTCTGTCTCTGTCTCTGTCTGTCTGTCTGTCTGTCTCTCTCTCTCTCTCTCTCTCTCTCTCTCTCTCTCTCTCTGTCTCTCTCATTTTTTCTTATCAAAACACCAGTCACTGATTTACAACTTGCATTAAAACCTGGATCATCTCAATTAATTGTCTTAATTATATCTTTACAGGTCTTATTTCCAAATAAGGTCACACTCACAGATACTGGGGTCTTAGGTTTTTTTAGAGGGACAAAATTCAAGGCACTAAAGGTGGTTTAGTTTCTTTTTCTTTTATTTTTCCGTGGGCATCTGCTGTTACTAATTCTACCCCTTTGAAGGTTATCTTCTTTAAAATTGCATTTTTCCATTTTTTCTTGTTTTCTGTCCCTAAAAATGTATATGACGAGTCCTTGTTAAAGAACAAAACAAAAAAATTTAAAGTGTAAACATGAAGGCATAAAAGAGCAAATTTTGAATAACAAAGTTATGCAGTTTCACAAGTTTCTCTAGTTAATGATTCCTAACCAGTATTTTCCACATTTCATTTGAAATATTAAATAGCCTTTATATTGCCCTGTGCCCTTTCATTTCCCTCCTAAGAGGCTCACCAAACTTCTACACATCTACTCTCGCTTCTACTCCTGTCTCTAGACAAAATTGTTGGGTAAATTTATGATGAAGACAAAAATCAAGTGTATCAAATAACAATTTGCTGTCACTTTGAACTCTGATGCAGTAATTTTTGTTTTATTTGAACCTCTGTAACAACCAAGAAATAACATCCCCTCACAGATTGAACTACCATGGTCCAAGCCATGTAAAGAACGGTACATAAATAATGAAAGAAAAGAAAGGGGCTGGCCTTATTTTGTGCCTCTACTGTTTCACATGTGTTACTTCATTTAATTCTTCCATTAACATTACATGTATTTCACAATTGAGGGAAATAGGAAAAGATGAAGTGCCCGTAATGTGTCAGATACCATACTTTCCAAGGAGTGGAAATCCAGAGCCCTCTGAATCCAGTCCCCAAGTTCTACTTAGGTCACTATGACACTTGTTAAGTAAAATGACAGTGAATTACTTAATGGACCATTTATTCTGTCAAGACTGTATCTAGTGAGTATTATGCCCATTTAGCATATGAAATAGTTGAGACTTACAAAAATAAAACAAGTTGTATAATTTATATCAATGACAAACCTAGGCTTTTCATTTAGGCTCATCCAACTTTCAAACACACAATTTTTCCGATGATTGTAAATTTGGAACAAAAATCTAAGGGGTAGGTGAAAAAATAAAATATCTCAGGCAATAATATAAGGATAGAAAGAGAGAAAAGAGGAAAGAAAAACTGCTCTGATGAGAAGCAAGGAAAAAAAGAATTTTCCTTAAGGACAGGAGGGTTCATGCTGTAGTTTTCCATTCTGCGACGATGGACAGTGCCCTAGGATTTGGTGACTGATGTCACCGAGACATACAGGATGTACAGGAGACGGATGTGCAGACTAGTGGAGAGCATGGGAGAGTGTGAGACAAAGCACCCATGAGAAGCTTGACTGAGGTGGCCGAAGAAAAGAGGGCTGAAGAGAGAGACAGCAGAACAAAGTTAAAGGAGAACCATTGCTTGTAGTCAGGCGAGGAAGTAGCTCAAGTACTCATAAATTGTGGAGTGGACGTGGTGGAGGTCGGGTGCGTGATATAGATGAGAACCAGCGATGAAAAGGAAGAGAAAGTGAGAACGTGAGTGGAGGTTTTCGGTGACTGACAATAGGACACACCATCTCCATGGAATGGGCATTAGCGGAGATCTGTGGCTAGCAGAGTGGTAGATTTGGCCTGGGCAGGAAGCAGAGCAGATGCCTCACTCCTCTGACAGGAGGCCTCTACGTGAGAAAAGCACTAAGCAGAGCTGGACATTTGTCGACTGATGAGAACAAAATGTCAAGAACCACCAATGAAGCTATGAAGATGGAATTCTGTCATGCATAAATGGCCCTGGTTTAACATACACGTACAGATGCTGGAATGCCTATAACATCATAACTGAAACTCAAGGGTCTAAGAGCAACAATGTTTCTAAAAGAAAAAAAAAAAACCCACCTTCTTCCATCTGCAATCACTTCCAAATGGAAACAGCCACTGCAGAACATGTCTGTCTGCTATGCACCTCTATGATGATTTGTATTCCTCTTGCATCTGTATTATCATTTTCCTGCACAGAGTTATCTTCTCAGTCCCTAAGAACTATAAAGAATCCATGGCTTTATTCAATATATTTGTGGTCTGGAGAAGTTAAATCAATTACAAGATGCGTGAAACAAAGTAAAATATAAAGAGAAGTTAGAGAATAGGCAAATGTGGGCTAATTCCCTTCAGGCTTCACTAAGTCAACATATCTAGACCATTACAGTCTTTTATGAGTGGGTGTCTTTTAGAATAATGAGAGAACAGAATAGGCTTAAGAATAATGTCTGAAGAAGTTTGTTCAGAAGGACCAATCAGAATGTTGAGAAAAATTTAAAGCTAACTACTCTTTACAGTAAATATTAACCCTGGAGATCAGTCCTCAGTTTGTTTATAAAGAGTGGAAGTGTTTTGGTCTGTGGATAAATCCCAATGATTAGCTCTGAAAGGCTGATTTATAATATTTTAAGGCTCTTCTTTTTGCTGCTTACTTCACCCCCCAAAAGATCAGAGAAGCAGGCGTGGTCTGTCCATAGTAAGGAAGAAAGGCATGGACCACTTAGAAACCTTTCACAGTGAAGCGCTGCACGAATCTGACATCAGTTTCTTCAAGAGAAATGTTTAAGCAGCAAGAAAATATTTTATGTTTTTTGGCACGCAGCAGATCAGATAGAAGAGTCTCGCAATACAACCAGGATGTGTAATCTGACATGATTAGACAAGGCTCTTTAGTACCAGAACATTCATAATTGAGACAAAGAAAGAGTATTAATAACACTTTCCTAACACAGCAGTTAGCCATTTTATATTTCCTTTCTTTAATCTTAGTGTTTTTCAACAAATCATGGGATTTAATAGCATGTTTTGGCAGATTAGAGGATTTATGGCCCAGATGTTTTTTGTTCTAAAAATGGATTAGGGTGTAAAGTTTGCTGGAATCCATGGAACATGTTGAGGCAAGCCGGTCATTTTATGTGTGATTAGTGCCTGCCTTCTGTCTCACAGTCCCTCCATCTGTCACAATTCACCAATGGATCTGGTTAGATTTAGCCTCGTGTCACAAACAAGTCCCTTTTCTGGGCAATTTCATATTACAGATTCATTTTATGCTATTTTATGCCCCAGTTAAAAGATAGAGAGAAAGAAAGATGAGATATTAGCTTTCCTCTAAATATTCGTAAGAATCATTGTTTCCCAGTGCTACGCTAACACCATGCAGTTCATCATCATAATGTGCAGCAAACAAATGACCAGTGTTAAAGTTAAAATTAGTTTAGCTCCTGGTCCCTGTAACTCTTTAAAAGAAACATTTTGGTAGTGTTTCTCACTAACTCACTGTGTAGGACTGTGTAGCTGCAGGCACAAGCTAGCCATTTAACCATATTACTAAGTGTGTGAGTCCAGTGTGACTGTACTTAACAGTAGCCACAAGTTCTTATCCATTATGGGTGCTTGGTTACATTCTGTGAAATTCAAACTCTTAACTATTACAAGTTTAGAATTCATCACAAAGCACTGCCACCAGTAGGTTATTTTACCATCAATGGATTCAGGGGAAAATGCTCTTCTTTCAGTCACTTAATAATGATATATTTCTCTGTACCAAAGAAGCATAATAGTGCTATAGAAAAAGTCCTTTAACCTTCCAAATATTCTGAGAAATTCAATAATCATAGTGGTAACTAACAATACCTATATCTTATGATGACGTTCAAATGGTCTTTGCATGAAAAAATATCAGATAGTTTTTATTTTGCCCTACAGACTATTCAGGTAATAACTAAAAAGACTATTTAAAATTAAATCTTAAACTCCTTTCAAAATACTTGGCAACAACCATCTTTCACTTAAACATTATGTTTTTATTACAGGTATTTGGTAACATGTTCTTGTATGACTATGTGAATCAATCATCAATTATTCATTCACTAATTAATTTCAGGCAAATTCCATGAAGAAATTCTGATATGCCAGGCATTAGCCATCATCCATCGTGGAAGAGATTTTTATGGTTAAAGGCAAGCCTAGCCATGCATTTGTACATTTGCTCTGTGTCATCCTCAGGTTATTTAAACGATCATGATGCTGTCAGCAAGGCAATCCAGGAAGCTCGGCAAATGAAGGAGCAGCTTCGTCGGGAGCAACAGGTGCTTGATGGGAAGGTGGCTGTTGTGAATAGTCTAGGTCTCAATAACTGCCGGACAGAAAAGGTTAGTTCACGAAACAACTTACTTTCCAGGAAGAGTTCACAAACTTGCCTACATTTCCTCTCTGTTGTTCACCTTACCGTCCTCTGAGTGGTGCTTCTCCGTTTCTTTTCTCTGCATCCAGGCAGAGGTCCCCATGCCCATCCTAATCAAAGCCATCTGGAAGCGGGATGCATTTCTCTCTATCCATCTCCAAGCCTTATTTGCAATTACTATCCCCCTTTATGCCGCCAGTTTGTATTAAAATGAAGTGGCATTCGAAATATCTGACTCTGGGTGAAAGTTCTGCTTTGCAGAGATACTTAACTTGTATTTGGGGATGAGCAGGATTTGAAAATACTGAATCTTCTTTAATCACCATAAGCTTGGATGATACCCATGCTCATATTCTAAGTATGTAGGATCCTGTGCTGCTGATAATGTTTCCAGTGCAAAGCACTGTCACATGTTAAGTGGCTGTGAAATTGGAAAATTTTACTTTATCAGAAAACTGCTTTTCAAAACTTTATTATTTGTTATACCTAACTTCCGAGTTTGTCTGAGACATAATGATTCTCAAGCTATTTTGTTGAAGAACACACTGTATTTTACTCAGAATATATTATGTCGTTATAGGTGTTCATCAGGAACACATCTTTTGGTAATATTTGCTTATGCTTATTGCACTTTATACTTACTACACTTCTGGTAATATTTGCTATGTTTTGGGTGGAAATTTTAAAACTTTACCAAATCCCCTGGACACAAGCCTATAGGTACGGCAGGCAAAAGAATCAGCTACTTAGCAATAACTTCAAAGTTCATAATGAGAAACACATGAGCCAAACAAAATTGTCCAGAGTAAGCAGACTGCTGATTTGGACAGCTCTCTGGTTTCCCAGGTTTCATGTAAAATTCAATGTCTAATCACCAAGAAGCTAGCAATCTGCATAGTACAGGTGAAATGGTGAGGTGATCCTGTCACAGCTGCTTTTTTCCTCTGGTCCTGGAATGCATAAAAATTTAGAAAGAAGAAACAACTCAATTCTGCTCTGTCTACAGGGGACAGGACATGGGTCAGCATACATTCCTTGTAGGCTTACAAAGTAAGACGGGCGACATTGTTGCAGTGAGAAGGACACAAAATTTTTATAGCTAAGCACCAGAAGGGAAGAGGAAAAGAGAAGTGACAGCTCTAAGAAGGAATGATAGCAAGCATAAAGGAATTTATATTCAAATATTTAAACATTCTTGAAAGGATGCTTGAACAGAAATTCCTCTTCTCTGCTCCCCATGTAGAAATGAGTTTAACACTCAGCCAGATGCTAATGCAAAGTGACTCAAGCTATTCCTCGCAAGCATAGCTAAATTGCCGTTATTTGTTAAGCGCATTGAATTCAGCTGTGGATACAGCAGTTGGTTGCATTCAGCAAGCATCTGTACCCTTTTTTTAATCCTCCAAAGCAGAGACAACTCTACCTATCTCCCCCCTCTCCTCCCCTGTGCTGGCTGGGAATTGTCAAGTGACAACCGACCAAATCCTTTTGGACAGGAAGCCTTCATCCTGAGTTCTATATACTTGCAAAACAGGCCTTGTGGTTGAATCAGGGAGCCCATTAAAAGCACTTTGATGGTATGGAAATTCATCTTCATGAAGCTCCTAGGCCCCCAAGCAGCATGCTGTTTAGCTGTGGTTACAGATCAGTCATTCACATCGGAGGGCAATAATTGCGCTGACGGCTTATAAGGCAATGGAAGTACATAAAATAATCCTGGGCCCTCCACCATGGCACTGAGTTAATCTTCTCTAATACAGATCAGCTGTTGTTCTAACATATGACTTTATACTGGCTCCAGTGACTCCGCACAGCCTTTTGATTAAGTAGCAGGAGTGGAACCATCTGTATTCACTTTACTCCACACTTACTCGTTGTTGGGCACCTTATTTCCACTTCTTGTTCCACTCCACAACTGTACTTTATTTCTCCGATTAACACCTCTTATTTGGGTTGTAAGAATGAAAGTTGCCTTTGTTGAAAGCTAACACATCGGTAGAGTTATAACTTTTTAAAAACCAATTTTTCTAATAATATTGGCAAATGCCTATTGACCAGAGATGTCTCTATTGTTGAGATTATTATTCATGAATCTCTTTACTCTGCACTTGCAATGTCCAGTCGTTGAACTAAATCTGGAGCTCATATGTTGATTGCTGTTAAGGGAAAATCTTAGTCTGTGAAAATGAGGCAGTACAGTAGTATGACAAACTCTTGTATGAGGAAATCTTCTGAAACAAAGTGTCTGAATTAGCTCATCCTTTGTATTACTCTGATTACTGACACTAAAAGTGGGACTACTGAAGCCTTTTGAAGTTAGCTCTTGCAGTGGCTCTTGGTTACCTTTTCCAACTTAGCTAGCTTGAGAATCATTTCTACAATGATTATGTCTATGCTCCTTGTGGGAATGACATAGTGATATCAAATTTATATCTTTTAATTACTAATTATTCAAAATCAGTACCTATCATGTGTTTAGGACTGTTCTATGAACTTGCAATATTCTTTTGAACAAAAAAAATATAGTCTCTACCTTTACGGAACTTACAATTTGGATCAAAATATTATCCTGCCTGTTAATCATTGCATATTTGTATGTATGTGAACACATCTAACTGGCCTGAATACTTTGTATGTCAGATCACTCATACATCTGAGGTGACAAAGGTGGATACTTGTTCTTCCACATAAAGTAACATCATCATGCATAATGTGCTGTTTTCCACAAACTGATTTTTAATTAGATATTTATAATCACTCAGCTTTATTAATGGCAAGTATGCAGATCAGTTATCAGTTTGAAATTTTTCCTTGTCATTCTTAATAAAAGGTTTAAAAGGAATATAATGATAACTTGCTTTTGTAATATTTTCTTATTGCTTGAATTCAAAGGAGTGTTTCCATAGCATAATATTCATAACTCCTTAAACCCATGAACTATGTGAATGTAAAAAGTGAGACAAAGGAGAAAAAAAGGTAGAAAGGAGCTGGGATAAAAGAAATAGGAAAGAAAAGAAATTCAGCCTGTACTTTACATGAGTCTAAAAGGTAGTAGAGATCATAACCTAAGAACCAGAAAATTAGTATTTTCTATTGGAGATCCGTGCTCTTGGATACACAAAGCTTGTATGCATGAACTTGTCTTCACATATGAAAATGCCAATGTGGTTGTCCTAACTAGGTCTTAACTCTGAAAAGCTGTAGTTAGACAGTACAAACAATTAGAGGCGTGAAGACAGGGACAAATGTTTTCCCAGTGATATGTACCAAAACATCATGAAAGTCATTTTTACTAAAACACATTTTAATTGAAGAGTTCTTAAAGATTTTTCACTTCTTTACTTTTCTTGGAAGTGTTTCAGCATACCCAAAAAGTATGTGTCAGGTTTCTTGGAAACTCTGGGACACAGTATTATTTATAATTGTCATTTCTGGTTTATTATAGACTGATTGTATATTCAAGTAATTTTATCTCTTACCACACAGCTCTGTTGCAAACAACACGGCAACTGCAGATCACAGTGTTATGGGGGAAAAGTAGTCTCCTCAGGTAGGAAGAAATAAAAAGAAGTCTTTCAAATATGTATCTTTAAAAACACTCAATTTGCTTGTTTAACACACAAATGACACAGTTGTGACCATACAGTTTACTGTACAGCAGGTTCTTGATCCTGGGTTTAAAGGCATCTATTCCTAGTAGAAGATCGTGAAAACCCGTTTGTATTGTCCTCACCCACTAGGCAGTGTTAACACAGCAGTGCTAGTACGTGCCACTGAAATGAGAAATAGACCAGAAGTTTCTCAGCTTATGTGCTTCATTCCAAATGTTACATAGGAAGACTGTTTATATGCCATAGTACCTATTGGAAACATATTTCTCAGCATCCATTAGGAAATCTCAATAGCTTGAACGGGTACTGTTTAACTGTTATCACACAGTGATGCTAGCTGGATGCATTACTTCACCAACTCAGTGATATAAAGCTTGGAATTTCTGTGACCCTTGGTTTTTCCCTGTGGGTCACAAAATGGTGGTTGTCCCATGACTACCCTGTCCATCTGAGGGCAGGAAGACTCAGGCAGCAGCTTTCTGTCCTTGCTGAATTCTATCTTTGTCGCATGGGGATGTTTTAGCTTATTAGCCGGAATGGGGTCTTTTGCACAACTTTAAGAAGATTACTGGCATAAGGCTAAAAAGACTCCTTAAATCTGATTATGAAATATATTCTGCAGCTCAACTAGAGAACTTCTTCCCTGAGATCGATGCCCATCTTGATTTCTAGGTGATATTAGTTGTGAAGAAAAGAAAGACCAGAATGGCTACTGGGTAAGAAAAGACGATTTTCAGCCACAGCTACATTGTAAAAAATAATATCAAAGCTCTTAAAGATCGCCTGCATGAAACCAGTTTGTTTTGATTCATAATTATTGTCATGTATCTACCTTTTGCACTGTCACCATTACACGTTCAGGGCTTTATGTTTTGTCTGGGGTTCATAAAGAAGCAAATGACATACAAGCATGTACACAGGAAAGCACTGCCTAGTGACAGGTTAAATGTAAGAATATGTGGTTCACACACATGCCCCATACATGTTAAGACCGACTTCTGTTTCGTTCTTCGTATGTGAAACAGATGTCACTCACAAAAATTAAACATGCAAATCTATGCATGTATTTTTTAAGGAAAATGTATTCACCAAACATTAATTGCCTACAATGTTCCTGAAATATAAACATGCACACAAGCCATGAACTTGAATGTAATTGTACAATGTTCCTGGGAAAATATTTTACTTTTGCTTTTGCAGTTCAGGTAAAATTCTTCGCAAATTTCTATAGAATGAAATAAAAATATAGTGAATAGCATAGCACATATATTTTAAATAATAATTTACTCGGCAGTGACCCCAGTTTCTCTCTTTTTGGCTGTTTGTCAGTCATATTCATAAGAAGCACAATCATACA